AATAAATTTCACATTTCAGCCAAAGGACGCTGACATAGACCTCCCCAATGCTTTCCATGTTGATCGATTGGTAGCGGCCTACGTCCAGTGCTTCTCTGCTACCTTTGTGATATCGTCGGTCCATCTTGTGGGTGGACGTCCCACGCTGCGCCAAATCGTTGCTCTGTAATACAGTAAATAACCTTATACATATCCGTGCTCCAATTCTTAAAGAGGACCTTCCAAACTAGTATTACAGATCGAATACTTCAATTTCTTCAAGGTCTCTTACCTTGGCCTTACTCTGACTAAAATGTAGCAAACTATGTCTGTTACGAAACCTGAGGATTACATGGACTCTTGAGCAACTCAATTACAGTTTGCGACAGGCTACTTCGGGCCAAAGTGAGGAAAAGTCCCTTGTAATAGAGCAGGACTTGTGCGACTGAGTTTTGGACCTAGTGTCATAGAGCAATCTTTATACAGAAGATACACGTTTGTATTAAAAGCAGAACATTTCGCAAAAAAATATGTAGCTAAGTTGCAATTTGGGCCAAAGTGAGCGAAAGTTCCTTATAATAAAGCAGGGCTTGTGAGACTGAGTTTCGGACCTAGTGCCATAGAGCAATCTTTATACAGAAGATACACTTGTAGAAATAGATGCAAAGAACGAAAGCTAAGGTTGCTGTTTGGGCCGTGAAGCTAAGGTTGCTGTTTGAAGTGTGGAAACTTCTTTAAAATAGAGCAGGGCTTGGCCGACTGAGTATCGGACCTAGCGTTATAGAGCAACGTGTACAGAAGATAGGTACCTACTATATCTTCAAAAATACCTTTATGAGACAAAACATCTATCAAACTGGAAAAACTAGGCATTTTTATTTATTTCATTTTTTTTTCATTTTTTTTATGCATAACAAGGCAGGCATTTGACCACAATCGCACCTGATGTTAAGTGGTGTTATAATTTATCAAAAATAAAAAGCTACAATTAATGTAGCTTTTTTCATAAAGCTAGGTCAGATAAGTACTTTTGAAGAATTTAATATTAAACATTTTCTTAGAGCACTTTAATTCAACTTTTTTTTCATGTTATTAAAACAGAATCCTCAGAACTTAGACTTACTTGGTGCTAGGATTTAAAATTTACATGTACAGAACGGGTCACGAATAAGGTAGCCATGGTTAGACCGAAAAAAGGTGACTTTTTATTAGAACAAGACTCCGTAGACTTATCAAGGCAGCTTACTGTTTTCCTTGTTTTTTGCTTATAATCTCACTAGCTGTGTCCGCGACTTCGTACGCGTGAAAACCCGTTTCCGCAACATTTTTCATTTTTGCTCTGCACCTATTACTCGTAGCGTGATAGTTTATTTTATATAGCCTATAGCCTTCCTCAATAAATAGGCTATCTAACACTGAAAGAATTTTTTAAATCAGACTGCTAGTTCCTGAGATTAGCGCGTTCAAGTAAACAAACAAACAAACAAACTCTACAGCTTTATAATATTAGTATAGATTGCACGAGGCCCCTCTGGCTTGCCCTTATTTTTGGCTACGTCATGTCTGGTTCTGCCTACTTTGGGAGACAATCTTGTTTACACCAAATCGTGTCAAGGTCCCCAAGACGTTAATGAACACAAAGAAGTGTTATTAATCTAATTTCGGAGCAAATTAATGATCTGCTTTGTTTCAATTTTGACATCCATGAGAACAAAGCGTAATTAACACTTCGGTTTGATGAATTTGATACAATTTAACTGCCTCTGTGGTCTAGTGGTAAAACTACTGTTTTAGACCCAGAAGTACTGGGTTTGATTCCCAATGGAGGCACAAGATTTTCTGCTCGGTTTTGATGGCGGTAGTGTATTTGATATAATTTTAACTGCCGCTGTGGTCTAGTGGTAATACCACTGTTTTAGATCTAGAGGTCCAGGATTTGATTCCCAATGGGGGCACTAGATTTTCTTCTCGATTTTTAGGTAGGGCTTATTTTAAGTTGATTAGCTACCACTATCTTACTTAAGTCTATCGCCATAACAACAATTCATTATATTGTTGTGTTACGACAAGTAAGGTAGCCTTAAGTCCTATTATGGCTGAGGATTCTGAGTGAAGCTGTCTTCCACCTTCAGCCTGATCATCACTTTCCATCAGGTTAGATGCAGGACAAGACTTTCTCTGCTGTGTGGAAAAAACTAGACATCTTTGGCTAAGTTGCACCACACAATTTTAACCAGCTACAACGATAAACGTTGCTTTTGTATGGAGTTTGACAGACTTTTGACGTTTGTTAAAATTAAAATAATACGGTACAACGCAGCCTTGGTGCTTTTACCTGCCTATATGTCAGAACAAAAATAACATGTTATTTCTCGCACTGGTTTTTAATCTAAAAAGAATCGTAGAAAGAATATATTTTCTAAAAATACTCCCATTGATAGCAGCTTCCCAAAACTCCAATCTTTCTAACTTGGGAGTATCGCCACCTCTTTGTTTTATCTCATCGTATATATTTCATACGCAAATTGGAAACAGCCACGCAGGCAGTAAAGATTGTACGCGATTTTGTATCGGTAAAGTTTTTGCTATATCAAAGTTAGAAATTGTGATTCATAGTCTATCGCTGCGAGGTTATCGGTGGTTTTGTAGGGTTCCATAATTATGTCGGTACAGAAAACCGTAATAGGCTAGTTTCCTAAAAAATTTTTACAGTTCATCAAAAAATATTAGATACGAATATTTTTAATTGTCAAAATTATAATGGGGATGTTGCCTGGGTCAAAAAGCAAGAGTTTTAATTAGTCCGTCAGTTAACTTATCAAAAAATACTCTACACGTATTTTTCACTTTTTCAAACTAATGAAAATTTAAAGAGATAAAGCGCCCCAAAGTTCATAAGAAGAGGCCCGTGACGTCAACGCTTGCTTAAAAATGCCGCACGTTGTGACGTCGTGCGCAACTTCAACGCACCATAACTATGTAATTATTTGTTAGATTGACAAATAAAAATATACGTGTCCAATATTTTTTGATATTAAACATTACGGACTAAAAAAATTTTTTTAGGCAACTAGCCTATTACAAAGTTATGTTGCGTTGAAGTTCCGGGCGACATCACAAAGTGCCGCAGTTTTAAGCACTCATTGACGTCACGGGCCTCATATTTTGAACTATAGCGCGCTTTATTAGATTTCATTAGTTTTAAAAAGTGTTTTTTTGATAACTGACGGAATAATTAACTATAGCTTTTTTTTGATGTATTGATTTTGAATGTTTTAAACACAAAATATCGAATTGCCTGATATTTTATGGTAATTGAAGCCACGACTTATTGTTTGTTAAATGACTGTTTCAGTCTGCAGAACAGCTGACAAAATTAATCTGTGATGCAAGTCCTGAATGCTCCAAAATAGATTTTTAGTGGAGACTGTCAGCAGGACGGACTTGAGCTCTACGGAACAGATAGATGATTACAAAGATGTTTGGCCCCATAGACAAGTGGCACTTTTTGATCCAATCAAAAATCGAATCCGTTATAACTCCATAAAAAAGGCCTTTCGACCATCTTTCTACCCACTGGTAATTTAGTCATTGGATAAAAAGGGTAAAATAAGTTTTTTATCCTTTAAATATTCGCCACAGTAAGACTCTAGTTAGCTAAGAATTAATTATTTTTCTACGGAACCAATCCATTATCAAGCAAACACGCTTGCCCGTTTTTTTATTGGGCAAATTTCGCGGGATCTTACCAGCCTCAGTTTCGAAGTTGTTTGTTTTGTAGATTATTATCATGTCTTAGAAAGTGATAACACGAAAGTACAAACACGAAAACAAATTATACACATGAGCAAGTACGCTTCTGAAATAAATCGTGGGCATATTTTAGACTAATAAGACATTATGTGGTCTCCAAGGCATTGTCTGGAGAAACAAATTATCCTGGGACAAATGGAAGACAGACGCGCTCGGGGCAGGGCACCGACGAGATGGTCAAACGGGTGAGGAGGACGGTGGGCGGGAGTTTGCATCGTGCGGTTCACACAGCTTATGACCGCAGTCTGTGGAGGAACACTATCTGTGGTCGCGATCCTCATCAGTGAGGGAACGAGGAAGAAGAAGAAGACTTTTGAAGAAACTTTCTTTTTGTGTCTTTCACTTCACCTTTATACGAGTACTAATGCATGTACCTACGGACAAAGTTAACTATCCATTTCCGGTTTTGCTCTCGCTCTCATCAAATGGTGATTTTTTGCGATAGAACGAGACGACAAGTCCGGCAATGGGTAGTTAACACTGTTGCCGATAGTAACCTACTATCAACATGTATAGAAATCCAAAACATTGTGATTCTTTGTCGAGTCCGTAACCAAAAAATCGAATTGAATAAAGCGATAAAGTTTTTTCTGTTTCAGACAAAACTCCAAAAGCCTACTAATTATGACATTGACAATGTATCGCTATAATTTCCAGACACAATATGCACAGTTCTGAAAACCAACAACGTTTATAAAATTCATTTTCCTTTACTCCAGCATCAAAAAACAATTAAATTACTCCAGCAGCTTTGGGCAAAGATAAATTCGGTCAACCATTTGGCATTGACCGATGGACTGTCGTCACTCCACTCTGTTTGCTGAGTTTAATGTGATACAGTTTCATTTGGCTAATGATTTGCATAGAAATGAAGTAGTAGAGAAAAATATCCTTTGTTGAAAATTCGTTACAAAACTTTAAGTATTTTTTGCAGTTTTGGTTTTTAATATTGTCGGCTGCGAGTATTTCAACATCTTATTAAAAAGATACCTACATCTAGCATTTTTTTGATATCAGTTTGCTTAAAGAGCAGTATATCTCCGTTTTGACTTGTTGTCACATGCGCCCTTTTAACTATCTGGGGCAGTTATCTCATATAATTTGCTACACTATTAATAGATTGGCACAATGACATGCACATCACATGGACCTTACTACGATCTAATTGAGTAATTTAACTCAGCATGATATTCCAATTCATACATGTGACGCGATTCTACAACAATATCAATGTCTGAATAAAATTATTGCGGAACTTATCATTAGTTTAATCACCAGCAGCAATGCCAGACGTAACGTTTTTATTAATTGCATTATGTTTATCGTGTGCGGGATCAGAAGCGGCTAGAATTCTTGCGTACTTCCCAACACCGTCGATCAGCCATCAAGTCGTCTTCAGGCCTCTGATGCAAGAACTGGCAAAGCGAGGACATGAAGTGACCGTTGTGACTACAGACCCAGTGTTCACGAAAACTCCAGCTCCTCCAAATTTAAAGGAAGTGGATTTACATGACTTATCTTACGGGATATGGAAAAAAGAATTTATACAGAGATCAACTGAAAATGACGATATTGTGTCACAAATCAAACTGATACTCAAATTGGTTAACGATATTATAGAAAAGCAATTGCTGAGTTCAGAAGTGAGAAGTGTGATAGATGAGAATAATAAATATGATCTGGTGATAGTCGAAGCGCTTGCAAGGCAGTTAACGGTTCTGGCACACTTATTTAAAGCGCCACTGATCCAGTTCAGTTCGTTTGCTGGAACGTTTGATACTTACTCAACTGTTGGTGCACCCATGCATGAATTGCTGTATCCCTCCGTTGCAAGACAGAAGCTTTTTAATTTGACTATGTGGGACAAAGTGACAGAGTTAGCGAAATTCTACCAGATGAAATATTATTATTACGACACCCAACTTCTGGAAGAAGAGAACGCAATGCTCAAACGTGTATTCGGCGATGTCCCTTCTATTAACGAATTGAGTAATAATGTGGATCTGCTGTTTTTGAACATGCATCCAATTTGGGAGTGCTCCAGGCCCGTTCCACCGAATGTCATACATATTCATGGAATCCACGAAAAGCCTCAAAGGGATCTGCCAAACGTAAGTTAATGATTCTTTATTAGCATAAATAAGATTTTTTATAACGAAAACACTTTATTATGGCTTCGTGAAAATCTCATTAGAAACAAAAAAAAAACTATTTCTATATCAATCTAAATTAAATTGGGTTTGTAAACTGTGTTTATGAAAATTAAATGGTGTCAGTGTCAACTATTTCTATATAAATAGAAATTCTATTACCTATAAATAGAAAGTTACAAAAACTAAATCCAAATTACAAAAAAGATCATGAAATTGATAATACTATCCTAATTAGATTTAATAAGATTATTTAAAAAGCGATCTCTTTCCAATGCCATATACCGGGTCACATACATTCTTAGGCGAGTGTGTTGGGTCTGTGAATTGTAAATCAATTCTTTGAACTCCAGTATTTCCATTCTTATTAATACTGATGTAGTTTCCAGTGAAAATGCAGTAAAAGCATAGCCTTAAACTAATATTATAAATGCGAAAGTAACTCTGTCTGTCTGTCTGTCTGTCTGTTACGCTTTCCCGCTTAAACCTCGCAACCGATTTTGATGAAATTTGGCATAGAGATAGTTTGAGTCCCGGGAAAGAACATAGGATAGTTTTTATCCCGGTTTTTGAAACAGGGACGCGCGCGATAAAGTTTTTCTGTGACAGACAAAATTCCACGCGGGCGAAGCCGCGGGCGGAAAGCTAGTAAACAATAAAGATAAAATAATAAAAAAGTAATAAAAAAGTGGTCATTGAGATTAGATATTCAATGAATATCATATGATTATTATATGAATATTATTCATAATTACTATGATTTATTGTAATACGAGTGGTAATTACATTAATAAGGTAATCAACTGACTTAGTCCAGAGATTGCCAACATCTCTATGAATCTTTCTTTCTAATATTTATATTAGAAAACTCAAAGGCATGTGTTCTTTTATTTCTAACTAGCTTTCCGCCCGCGGCTTCGCCCGCGTGGAATTTTGTCTGTCACAGAAAAACTTTATCGCGCGCGTCCCTGTTTCAAAAACCGGGATAAAAACTATCCTATGTTCTTTCCCGGGACTCAAACTATCTCTATGCCAAATTTCATCAAAATCGGTTGCGAGGTTTAAGCGGGAAAGCGTAACAGACAGACAGACAGACAGACAGAGTTACTTTCGCATTTATAATATTAGTTGGGATAGGGGGTTTTGTCAAAGTGACTATGTCACCCCCGTAATCACCTTCTTAGAATCTATTACAATAATTATGATTATGTGCATAACTCAATGACCACTTAAAATGTTATTATTATAATCGGTCTTTAATAGCATTGATAGTGTTCTAAGAGATTTAAATCAAATTAAATAAATAAATAAATAAATAAATCTTTAGACAATCTTTAGACAATTTCACACATCGCCAGCTAGCCCCAAAGTAAGCAACTTAATGCTTGTGTTATGGGTGCTAGCTTAAGGCNGCTCGGCCATCCTACTTAAAGCGAGTCCCATCGCTTATTATTTCATTTAAACAAAAAATATAACATATTGACATTTCATGAAAAAAAAAAACACCCTAATAGACTTAAAATAAATATTAGAACTAATTTAAATTTATTTTATCTACAAAACTAATCATAAAGAGTTGGTGTAAATTATAATTATTTCATTTAGATATATTAAAAGCATATAATAAAGTGGATATAAAGTCACCGACATCATACTATTTACTATTACAACAGACAATCAACATGTTACAAGTGTTTCTGAGAGAGGACATTACCCAATTTAAATTTACTATTTACTCATCTTTTGCAATGTCATTTTCAGATGATTCAGACTCAAAATTTTTATTGAAATTCATCCAAATCTACCCACTTTTTCGAGTAAAAGGTGTGTCCTTAATAACAAACCTGTCAGTATCGAGGACTATACGGTAGGGATCTTGATAGTTTCACGGCCACTTTGAACAGTGTTTACTTCTGCAGTTATATTTTATATTTATTCGATTCTAGAATATATTCCCAAAAAGTCTGAAAGGTGTTTTAATTTGTATCACTTGGATATGATTTCTATTAGAAAGTGTTGTGAGTGTGACGCTTGAAAGGAAGGAAGTCAACCTAACCTAACCAACTGCGTATTCCTATACTGTGTAGCTGGAAATTGTGGCGGGAGCTCTTTGACGCGCTGTTTTCGGCGAAGAATTGCGCGCGCAGATTTTGACAGCGCGAAATACCTACTTTAGAAGAAATACCAAGCCTTAACGGATATACTACTTATATACATTTTTTTTTTAAATACATACATATTATACATAGTAACACCCAGACCCGTCACAGAAATTAAAATTAATCATTTCAATTTCTGCCCGGCCGGGAATCGAACCCGGGACCTCTTGGCATAGTAGCACGTTCTGAACCACTACACCAAACGGCCGACAATTACAATTATATTGTATTTTATTTCCTTCTTTTTAGGAGACCTTGTTGAACTTGGTTTTTACCATTGAAAGTCGGTTGATAGTTCATTGAGACAATTTTTTAATTACCTATAATATGATTTTTTAATTATAATATTATTTTATATTAAAAATTCAGTTGAAATTTACAGAGGTGTTTTTGCGTGTAAGCAATAACAACCATATTTTATATACTTTTTACAGCTATCGATCATGAAATTAGTTTATTTGAGAATATTTACGTGTAATATAATTTATTCGTTACGCCATCCATGGCATCTTAAAGTAGATCACACGCACTTGCTAGTGATGGCGTTTTATGTAAACACTTTAGGTGTGCTCGCTAGCGAATGCGTCAAAAAATCTACGAAGATTTTAGTTCTTGAAAGTAGCCGCTAGGGGCGTTGTACAATCTGTCATTTTGTAATAATGTAAATGTAAACTTATGGTAAAGTACACTGGTTACCTACTAACCGTCTATTTATCATATTTTATTTTAGGAACTCAAAACGTACCTAGATTCCTCAAAACATGGAGTCATCTACATAAGCTTCGGGACCAACGTAAAACCATCGCTGCTACCCCCTGAGAAGATTAAAATCATGGTAAACGTCATGTCCAAGTTGAAATACGATGTTCTATGGAAATGGGACAAGGAAGATATGGAGGGCAAGTCTGACAACATCAAGCTGGCTAAATGGCTGCCTCAATCGGATCTTCTGAGTAAGTAATATTTTACCTGAGTCCGGTGGAGGGCACTAACGACTGTCATACAGTTTCACAATAAAACTAAGTAGTACTTACAGGCGTTGACGTTCAACCCTATCTCATAATTATGTCGCCAATACCTTGGACCTTGTGATGATACCATATGCAACAATTTGTTCAAATAAACTTGATTAGTAAGTAGATAAATAGTTGAAAGTCCAGGACTTAGGCGGTTGAATATTTCTTTTCTTTGGTGAAATAAAAAAAATGTGCTGATCGACACACTATAAATGAATTTAGTAAAAAAATGACACCCACTCAGCATGTTATACCCCATGAATTATCATGTTAATATTAACTACTTATTTACCTGTCAGTGTCTTGTTGAGGCAACTTAAAAAAGTACATTCTGTGTTTTTGTTATTATTTAGGCAGTTAAATACTGCACAGTATTTAGTACACCATTTTCTTTATTTTCTTCCATCATACACAAGAATACGCGTGCGTGAGTCAATGTTCGCTCGTATGTGAGGCCTTGTCGAATAGTATCCTGTAGGTGGGCCATCGTGCGTGTTTTGTTTTCGATGTAAACTCGCGGAGATGAACAGGCCTGGTTATACTAAGACTGAGTTCCACCACCTTATTTTAACCGTAATAATAACAATAACCGGAGCTTTTTGTATGGAGTTTGACAGTTTTGACGTTTGTCAAAGTTTTAGTAAGATGGTGCAACCCAGCCTTTGTATTATCTATAGTTACAGTAATCTATAGTTAGTTATCTATTTCCCAATACTCAATCATTGATCTCATAATATCAAACATAATTAAAACTGACGAAACGCAGATGTTAGACGAATAAAATGAAAATCAATTATTATAATTTATACGTTTTTATACATTATTTATTATGTTTTATTACCTAACACTTCCTTATAAAGTAAAATTATATCGTATGATCTTTGTGGAAATCCTTGGGGGAGGCCTTTGTCCAGCAGTGGACGTCTTTCGGCTAAAACGAACGAACGATAGGTATCGTATGCCTATCATAATACACAAGTCATCACAATTAATTACACGAGATAAGGTATTATTATCTTGAGTTGAGACTTGAGTGGTTAATCATGCATCATTATGATGATTATGTCAAAAAAACTTTTGTTTGTTTAAACATTTTATGCTAATTGAAGTAAAAAGTCCATCAGACGGATTGAAGATAAAATAATATAATTTGTCTTCTTTATTATTATACTAATTAAATACATTGAAGTTGCGGGTTCCCTAACTTTACTGGTTGGGTTATTAACATTTTATTAGCGTTATGAGTCACGTGCTTAGGGGAGGCCTTTGTCCAGAAGTGGACGTCACTTGGCCAAAACGTAATTCCGTACGAATATGATGAATGAGAAAATAATTCTATTTATCTGTAAGTACCTATACCTACTGCAGTTTCGAGAACCAGGGAACATTATATTTATTCTGGATTTTAAAAGACTCCTCTATGATATGGCGGTAACAAATGTCTTTCGGAGATCAGTCGCTATGTGTGTCAAATGACAGTTCATTTTTCCATCCCGCAAATCAGGATTACAGAAGGAACGAGCCCTTATTCTAATACGTTTTGCAGGACATCCAAACATCAAATTGTTCATAACTCAAGGAGGTCTCCAGTCTACCGATGAAGCCATTAACGCTGGAGTACCCCTCATTGGTATACCCATGCTTGCAGACCAGTGGTACAACGTCGAGAATTATGTTCACCATAAGATTGGCTTGAGAATTAATATGGATACCATGACTGAAGAGAGTTTAAGAGAGACTGTGAAAAAAGTTACTGAAGATCAAAGGTTTGTGAAACATATTTTTGTGACTGATATTTTTTGTAGCCGATTCGCGGGGTTACTTATGCCCATTTTCACCATCAATACCTAATTTATGTGACCCCTATGGTAACACATAACAGGAATTTTGTTCCATAGGGGTCACTTAAAAATTAGGGATTGATGGTGAAAACGGGCATTAGTCTCCTATTTAAGGACGAAGCATACTTATCAATCTAGAAACGGATCTTTCACGCGCGTGTCAACCACGAGGCGAGGCGTTTACGTTACGGTGCGGGTAAATGTGCGTTGCATGGAGTTTCATACAAATACCGACCGCTTCGATTTGATACGGTTACGATCCCTTTCCGGGTTGATAAATGTGCTACGTCCTTAATACCGCTGGGACGATCAACCGACAAAAATGACAAATGACGTCCGATAATGACAACCGTCTTTTGTTCCAGCTACCGCCAAAACATAGTTCGTCTCCGTTCCTTGATGAAGGACCAGACCGACACGCCTTTAGAACGTGCTGTATGGTGGACAGAATACGTATTACGTCACTCAGGCGCACGTCACCTCCGCTCACCTTCAGCTAACATGCCGTGGCACCAGTATTTTGAATTGGAACTTATTTGTACTGTATTAGGAGTGGTATTTGTATGTTTAATTATTGTTGTAATAGCTTTAGTAAAGGTAGTTAAGGGTTTAAAGAGATTGTTAGGGTTACAAGTGAAAGTTAAACGCAGTTGATGTTTGCTTGCTCCAGCTAAAAATAGATAATTTTTTTACATTATAATGTCGCAGGAGATAAGATTAACCTCTATTTTTTGATTATTGTTCACCTTGAGTATGTAATTGTGATAAGGCCTCCCCCAAGGTTTTCCACAATGAACGGTCCTGCGCTGCCCGCATCCAGGCTCTTCCCGCGACCTTTACCAGATCGTCGGTCCACCTAGTAGGAGGCCTGCCCACGCTACGTCTTCCAGCCCGTGGTCGACACTCGAGAACTTTCCTGCCCCAACACGAGGGACCATTTTACCAAATTTCTGTCTTGTCAGGGACCACTATTTTTTTCAAAATCCTATGAAAGGAGGTTGATTTCTCGCCCATTGTGCGCCGTTTGCGTAAATCGACTCATCACGTCACGTCACATGTTTATTACGATGTCTTCGTGGACCACTTGGAATGCCTCCAGGGACCACCAGTGGTCCGCGGACCACCGGTTAAGAACCACTGCTCTATATGAATAGTAATATAGGGTTGCATTGGAATAATTATAGATTTTGTATTATGTGTTCATTTTTTTTAATTGAGTTAAATCATACCAACTCGGTGGACCGACGATCTAGTGAAGATCACAGAAAGCACCTGTAAAAGTCCTGGAGGAAGGCCTTTGTTTAACATTGGACGTCATTTGACGGAAACAAACTAACGAAAATCCAAAGTAAAATGCGACACACTATCCTATAATAATTTAACATCAATTACCAATCTCTGCCTGTTTATTAAATAAAGAAACATTACAATATCAATATTAGAATTTGGTAACAATAACAGTTATGTTAACACAAATAATGTCGTAGTTTGATAGATTAGTAGCTATTTGATAATGTAGGTACATTTACATTGAGGCGTGCTGTCCACTGTCCGTCATTTGACGAATGCATGCACACCGCATGACGATCGTAACGCGCCATTTCAACTCGATGTAGCACTGTTATTATTAAATTATGAAAGAAAATAAAAAATATGAGTCTAATATTTTCTAATTATCTGTCTGACGGACAAATAATTGAAATTTTGTCATCTAGTATCTTCTATCTATCTATCACCATCATCATTTCTCAAGTTAAACCTGAAGCAACTATAAATTGAGAAACACGGGTCTCAACGCGACATTTTTTATGAGTTACATAATGTACTCACGGCTTGACGTCGTCATAAGCAGACTGCAACATAGCAGTCGAAACATCAAGCCGTGAGTACATAATAAATAACTCATAAAAATGTCACGTTGAGACCCGTTTTTATCTATTTTATCTATTTTGGCCTAAATACCCCACGCTGGCCAGACGGGTTCCAAGGTTCTCGTTTAAGTTTTTAAGTTAGGTACTCTTTTATAATACGAGGTCGATTCGTGATTATGTTAGTGAGTTTATATTTCCTATAATAGAAATAGATCGTGAAGCCGTAGCCTTAGCCTGATTTAAATAGCCTAGGCTTAGCCCTATTTCAAAATGTTACAGATTTTCTTTTAAGGTGGCATCTAATCCGGGATGTTCTTTGAACATTATTATTAATGTTATAAGAAAATTAAGGTATCTACCATTTATGAATAAAAATGAGTAAAATTTTTCACAGATCTAAGATTTTTTAGATTTTACTTTTATTTAAAAAAAATGTACCATAAGAGATAATAAATATAAATAAAGTGGAATGCTGACAGGTAGTACCAACCAACAGTGTTGCAAAGGAGTGTCGCCGTCAAAATTTCTTTTTTATCAAAAAATTATTATTTGACCCGTATCATTAATGTCATTGTGTTGTTACGACTCCAACGTTATTTTTACAAATATTACATTACAATAAAAAGTACAGTGTGCTTACCATGAGTTTACGTTAGGTCTGCTCGCTAGCGAGTATGTCAAAAATATCTATGAAGATTTTATTTCTTGAAAGTAGCCGCTAGGGGCGCTGCACAATATGTCATACATTAAAATGTCATTTTTTTACGCAGTCGCTAGCGAGCAAACCTAACGTAAACTCATGGTAAGCACAAAGGTCACCTTTTAAAACAATTTAGCATTCCGTGATCAGCCCCAGTTATTTAGGTTTTATTATTTTGACATGCAAATGGCGATCTAAGTGCTTATGCGGAGCAGTTATTCATTTCTAGGACTTGTTATGGTGCAGTATTCCATAAATCACGCAATTTATCCATAAAACTAATTTTACGGCATTTTAATACTCATAAGATTCTTATAACCATGGGCGAACGAACGTTACAGATTTTATCAATTTGATTTTTTCTTGATTATAGATACACTTAAGTATATGGCTATAAGCAACTTATGTAGGTATAATTATTAAGGTTAGGTGGAAAAAGTATATAATATTTCTTCTATGTAAAAGTATTGATTCGAATTGATTTTAAAACTGATCTTCAGTTTAAAATCAATTCGGATAGTAATCAATTTAATACGTTAGCAATATTTTATCCAAACAGTCTACAGACATCAGATTATACGTTGTGTTGTGCCGTGAAAATGCCACGTGAAAAGTCATATTCTGAGTTCAGAGTTGTTTAACCTTCAGAGATCACAATCGAAACAAATAAGTTATTATGAAGTTTGATAGCCACGGGACTATGGGAGTTGAACAGAAGTCACAGGCGATGACTGTTCTCGTTCGTAGATAATGGCTATTCACAAGATCTAAATACGGCTTTCTCTAAAAAAAGCTTCTCAACAACCATAATAGGTATTTTTATTCGAAACAATAGTAAAAGAACTTGTACAATACAAGTTAGTAACTAAATAGTGAGCAAATAGAAAATTAAAATATATTTTTTTACTCTTTAATCTGATTAAAGGAATTACCACAACTAAAGCTATAAGTAAGGTTTATCACAATACCGTCGGCCGTAGTAAGGACAATCTGTTAAGGGGGGGATTCTTGGATGGGTCAAACTTGGAGCGCAAGTGTGGTTGTGTTCCCCAGTCGACGAAGCACATGATGTCGTGCCCTGCGTGCCCAAACAACTGCACGCAGGAAGATTTAATGAAGGCTACTGACAACGCCACTCTTGTGACGGAGTTTTGGGCTGACACTGTGTAGATTTGTTGTCGACACGACGTCATTGCCAAGACTAAAGTAAGTTTTATTATAATCTATACTAATATTATAAATGCGAAAGTAACTCTGTCTGTCTGTCTGTCACGCCTTCGTTGGTTGGGTTTTTATGGCGGTCAAGCAACCTGGCTACACAGGAGTTGCAGTGGTGGGAACGAGATGTGGGAATAGTCCTGTGTCACGCTTAAACCACTGAGCCGATTTTGATGAAAATTGGCATAGAGATAATTTGAGTCCCGGGAAAGGACATAGGATAGTTTTTATCCCGGTTTTTGAAACAGGGACGCGCGCGATTAAGTTTTTCTGTGACAGACAAAATTCCACGCGGGCGAAGCCGCGGGCGGAAAGCTAGTATGTACCAATATAATTGCAAATTCACCAGACAAGAGACTGTATTAAACTATCCTTACGGTATACCGAACTAAGTCACTTAAGTATCATCGTATGCTGCAATGGGAATTTAAAGGTTTTGATCCTTGTAAGACATTAACGCCCGTATTCACAAACGTTGCTTGCTTAAGTGAAGCAGCAAATCGAACGCACAGCGTTGAATGGAGCTCTGTGATTGGTTCGTGTGTCACCCTGTGCGTCCACGCGCACTGTGAGACCTCATAGTAATGTTTGTGAATACGGCCGTTAGACTCCATTTATTTACTTTAATCAAGTACATTTAAAATAGTTACTCTACTTTTGTATAGATTTTGTAGCAGTTGCAAAACTAGTTTATTCTGCGAATTTATTGTACCTTGCAGATATTGGGTTTATGGAAGCATAAAAATAATTGGAGCACATAAAATCAATGAAAAATACACAAATATCAAATTTATTTAGGTACCGTTTCCATTTCCATCACTCAAACTGAAATTATTATTTTCACTGGCTCACGGAGCGGAGAGATGTTCGCTTAAAAAAATAATTGCTTTATTTGCAAACTTATTTGCAAAGTTGTGCGACAACAAATAAATCGGTCCTGGATCACTGGGCTTGTTAACTGATGTATATAGTCATTTGTCAATATGTTTGTCGATTCCGTGTCTGGCTTAGAGCCAGGGGGACTATTATAGAGGTGGTGCAATTATTTTCGTGTAAGTTTTTTTATTGTGGAAATGAGACAAAAAATCCTGGTCGACCTGAAGACATTTATTTAGAATTCACTTATTCTACTTTTGTTTTAATTGTTTAACAATAAGAAATACAAGTCTGAAACGCCACAATTATTTAGGGTGTGATAGACTTTGCATTGCCTGATAATACTTTGCAGTTTAAAAAACGAAAAAAGGTAAATACGTTAATACATTTTTGCTCAAATAACATTTATCTGCTCTAGCATTAATGGATTCATTGATAAACTAGGAGAAACCAAACTCTTAATGACATCTTCTAGTAAAAACTTCACACCAGACAATTTTACAGGTGCTCCTTCATTTTAATAACAATTTAATTTAATAAAGCTTATTTAGAGTCCTGAGTCCTGACTTCAAAACTCTATCAAAGCTATTCTACAGAACCTGTCGGGATCGATTGGTAATTGATCACGGGTCTATTTATAAACTCAAAACCGCTCGACCTGAAGTGTCAATGCCATAGTAAAATTCGACTGTCAGTATTAATCTCGGGTGCCAGAATAGGGGCCTCGAGACAGATTTAATGAGGTTCCCTCGGTGGTCCCTACAATAAGTTATTGGGTTTATTTTGCTGATGTCACTATAGATGGCAGCAGTATAGACTTTGACAAGTCGTGTTTAAGGGCTGTATCGGATATTGTTTGTGAATGCAAACTTTTTGGGGGAAATAGAAGACGTTGATAACAAATTGATACTTCCTAGTCGTTTTAGATTTCTAAAGTTAGTAAAATAGGGCAGAAAAGTGCTAGATTAGTGACCACGGGCCGAAAGACGTAGTGTGGGCAGGCCCTCCACTAGGTGGACCGACGATTTGGTGAAGTTCACGGGAGGTTCTTGGACGGTCGTTGTGGAAATCCTTGGGGGA